AACGAGGCCTTACTAGCTAAATTATTTAAACTTTACTTTTTCTTTTCTAATTAAACATAATTTAGATTGGTTTCTAATCATGTTCAACTCTAGATTAGGTTTAAAACATGAATAAGGGTGCCCAAGGGTCGAAGAAATCGAAATGGGCAATTATTTTAGTCTCAAAGTTGGTTTCTGGGTAGGGGTTGCCGCATCAGGGCCAGCCCTGGCCTAAGGTCAATAAGGCTTGTGCCTTAGGCCCCACAATTTTGGCCTAAAAAATGGGCTCTCAAATTTAATAAATTGTTATAGGCTCAACTTTTTTTTTTTTTTTGGTTTTAGGATCAATTTAAAGGACCCCAAAATGTTTTATTGGGCCCATGTTTAGTTTAGTCCATATTTATGTGGTTTGTTCCATATTTATTAAAATAAAAATATATAAAAAACAAAAAAAAAAACAAATAAAGTGTTTGGGCCCAACCCAAACCATACAACAATATACAACATTGTTCACTTAATATATGAAAGTAAATTTTAGTTTATAATTTTAATGATTATATGTGTAAGTATACTTAAATAAAAAATTTGTGAATACTTATCATTTTAATCATAAATTTGTTATTAAAAAAAATATTAAAGGAGCCCCATTTTCATTAGTTCACCTTAGGTCCTACAAATCTCAGGGCCAGCCCTGTGCCGCATGTGTAGAGGGCTGGCAGCATGTGCAGGAGAACTGGACAGGTTCGGGGCTAGGCCGTTATTGGTTGTTCTTGAGGCCCAAAATCCAGTTTTCAAGCTTCCAAAACCTAAAACATGTTATATAACTCCCTAATGCATGGAAATATGATGGGAAATCAGTAGAAACTCATTTTTATGAATTGATTTTGAGATCAAAACAACTAAAAGATAAGATTTAATCTATGTTTCATATTTTTTCTATACTTCTTATCATTCTTGCACTTTCAATACTTTGGAACAAGATTCTAAGGTTCCTAAGTACAAACAAATGGTATAGATTCATAGTATAACACTTGTCTGACTCAAATCTACGGTAAAAACAATTCAAAAACTTAGTTTTTCAAGCAAATCATCAAATCCTTTTCTAACTTCTAACTTTTCCATTTTCTCTCGCTTTAATCTTCCTAGAACTTAGTTCAAATGAATTTCTAGCTAGGTTATGATATAAAAATGTGAAAGGGGGTTGAGTTTCTTACCTTTAGGTGATTTCTCTTTGATTTCTAGGCTTGATTTCCAAATTTTCTTGAATTTTCCTTCTTTTCTCCCTTCTCTTCGTAGGTCTCCAAAACTCAAACTTCTCAAATTCTCTCCATCTTTCTCCAACCTTCTAACTTTTGTAGGATAGATTAGGTTAATTTGCTATTTGCCTCCTTAGTCTAATTAATCAAGCTTAGTTCTAATTAACCATACTTACATTCTAATCTTGGTTAGTCTAATTAACCTCACTTAGGCTTAAGTTAATCTTGTTTAACTTTTACTAATCCTACTTAATTTTTGATTAAGTATTCATTAAGCTCTATTCATTAGACTAAGATCTTTAAACTCCTTACTTACAATTTTCTAAGTTACCTAGACATTCAATTTTCCAACTCAAGTAACTTCCGTAACTTTTCATTGTTTGCCTAGTTTTCCATCCTTAAATTTCATATTCAAGTTCTTCAAAATCACTAAGGCTTCCTTCTCAAATTCACCAAATCCCAAGTCCTATCATAGCAAACATATCATATGCATTATGTCCATGAAATAGAAAGAATTTTCTAGCAAAAATGGATGCATAAATGTATTATGCATGCTTGGCTATCACAAAAGCCCAACCCATAAAATTTATTAGGTGTTACAAGTTTACCGTGTGATAATGTTATCCATCAATCACTAATTCGTTTGGGAAGTTGGTTTAGAGGCTTTTTTGGCGAAAATAGTCACACAAACAAAGTAAGCTTTTTAGCCTAATAAGACAAAACATCACATTCAACCCATAATCATTACATTCTTTCTCTCACAAAAAAGTCAAAAAAGCTAAAAGCCCTTCCCAAATTAGGCCCTTTAGCCCCAGACTAAAATAATCAGAAAAGTCAAAAAGTCAAAAAGTCAATCCACTTTCCAAACGGAGGCTTAGCCCCAAGTATTATTGTTATGGCCCAATACAAAATTATGGGCCCCACCTCTAAACTAATCACAAATTCTTGGTAATCACCTAACCATACCTCAAAAGCACTAGATATTTTTTCTTATTCAAGTAGTATTGTTGATGTGGCATTTTACTTCTATTTTGTTATTTCAAAACTTAAAAACTTCATAACTTTTATTACACAATTATTTTTAATAAAATTTATATTTTTGGAGTCTACATAATGAGATATATCAAATAAGACCAATATTGAATATAAAATTTTATACAAATAAAATATTATTTTTTTAGCTATACAAAACTAAAAAAAATTTAGTTTGTGAAACTATCCAGTAAAATTGAGAAATTTCTCAGTTTTTTCCAGTATTAATTGAGAATATTATCAGTTTTTTAGAAATTTATAATTTTTTTTTTCTGGTTTTAAAACTGAGTCATTTTTTCCTGTTTTAAACTGAGATATTCTTAGTTTCAAATCTGGAAAAAAAAATGCTGAAAAAATTAGACGAAAAAAATATTGTTAATTAAGTTAAGAGAACTTACTATTAAAAATGGTTTAAATTGTAAATTTATAATAAAAACATATTTTTATTTTTATATAATTTTGCATTTAATATTAATCTTGTTTGATAGATTTTATTGTGTTGATTCTAGAAATATAAATTTTATAAAAAGAAAAGAAAAGAAAAATTTACTTATAAATCCCATCTTGAAGAATGATAATCCGATTAGTCCAAGAGTTTTCTTATAGACCAATTAGTCCCATTGATTTTGGAAAGGTGGGTTTAATATATTATTTAAAAATTAGATTTACGGTTATATCGTTATTTTTTATTTATTTAAATCCCATCTTGAAGAATGATAATCCGATTAGTCCAAGAGTTTTTTTATAGACCAATTAATCCCATTGATTTTGAAAAGGTAGGTTTAATATATTATTTAAAAATTAGATTTATGGTTATATCCTTATTTCTATTATATTTTCTTTCTTCTTCTTCTTTTTTTATTTTTTATTTTTTATTTTTTATTTTTTATTTTTAAGAAATGTAAGATACACAACCAATGAGAATCAAATTTGCGATGAATTTTTATAAGAATCTTTTTTCTTTAAAAGGGCAAATTACATATACACCCCTCGAGGTTTGGCTAAATTACAGATGCCCCCTGAGGTTTGAGAAATTACGAATTCCCCCCTGAATGCTATATTTGCATAAGAAATTAGGGGGTAATTTGTTATGAAATATAAACCTCAAGGGGCAAATTGTTATGAAAATACAAACCTCAGGGGGCGGGATGTAATTTCCGAAACCTCAGGGGGGTATCTGTAATTTAACCAAACCTCGAGGGGTGTATATGTAATTTGCCCTATTTAAAATGACTTGAAATATGAGATTCAAAATAAATGTCAATCACCATACTTTTTTTTATAAACAATTACAATGATGAACAACTATTATTTAAAAGGTAATTTTGTCTATTAAAAATTAATGAGATTTGAAAGAACAAAAAATATTTCTTAAGATTAATGAAATATAAGTTCACAAAATAGGACTTGTGTGTAAATGTCCTATATTTTATCATTTAAAAAAAAAAAAAAAAAAAAAGTTGGATAACTCTAAAGTTGTTGGATACATTTTTTTTGAATGGAAGAATTGGCCAAACATGTTTTTGGCCCTAAATTCCATCGAGTTGGAATATAGATACATCATTGTTTACTGTCGCTTACAATAACGGTAGAGTCCACACATCAAAGTCGTTATCTCTAACCTTTCTCAAATTTTCTTTTTTATTCTTCTACTTTACGCAACCAACAATAATACATCTCCTAAATGAAAGAACTCGAAAGAATTTTAATACGCTCTATGACATGAAAAATAAAATAAAAAAGATAAAACAAAAAATAAAACAAAACAAAAGACCAACATCACTATCGAAGTGGGGCCCATCACTAATTAGAGCTCTTAAAGCTCTTTTATTAGAGTTCTAAAATATTTTTGTTTATACAACCATTAAACAAAAGAAAAATGTTTTAGAATTTTAAAAGAAGAGTTATAAAATAACATTAATTTATCTTTTTTCTTGTTATGTTTTATCTTTTTCCCTTTTTTTTTTTGGGCAAATTACATATACACCCCTCGAGATTTGGCTAAATTACAAATACCCCCCTGAGGTTTGAGAAATTACGAATTCCCCCCTGAATGCTATATTTGCATAAGAAATTAGGGGGTAATTTGTTATGAAATATAAACCTCAGGGGGTAAATTGTTATGAAAATACAAACCTCAGGGGGCGGGATGTAATTTCCGAAACCTCAGGAGGGTATCTGTAATTTAACCAAACCTCGAGGGGTGTATATGTAATTTGCCCTTTTTTTTTTGTTCATCGGTGCATTGCTAGCTCAGTAGAAGTGCTTTTAGAGGAGCTCTACTATTGCTCTCTATCATGACGGTAAACAAAATAAGCAAAAAATTAAAAGGCAAAATTGTAAAAAAAATGATATAAAGTCAAAATAATTGTTAATAAATAGAAATACAAGTCTTAGTTGCATAATTTGAATGCATAAATTACTTGGACTTTCATAACATTATAATTACTTTGTGTAAATATTTATATATATATATTTGTAATTTTCTCAATTTAAAATACAAAAATCTTGAAATATGACGTAATAAGACAAAATGTATTACTGCAGAAGAAATTAAGACACATTCCCACAAATTAGTCTAAAAACTGCAGTCCCATTAATTGGAGAGCAACTATTTACACATACCACTCTCTCTCTCAACACATCTTTCACGCATAACTTTTCAACATACTTTTTATTAAGTGCGTGAAAAAAAAAGATATGATATGTGCAAATAGAAGCTCCCATTAATTGTTGCCAAAAAGACAGGAAAGGGATTGGATGGTCAAATAAAGAAACATATCAATGACTTGAAATAAGAAAATACACTTTCTCCTATCATGACCTCTGTTGCATTTCAAGACTCATTCAAACATCTTATTATATAATAATATCATTACTTGTACACTTCATACATCTCACCTTCTGCAACAAAAACTTTAAGCCGATAATGGGTATCAAAAACAACCCAGCCTTCATGTTTTCGATTTTCTTCCTCTTCTTCTTCTCTTTCATCAACCATCTCTCCCATGGAGCTGACACCATCTCTGCAAATCAATCTCTTTCTGGGGACCAGACCATAACATCTGCTGGTGGGAATTTTAAACTGGGTTTCTACAAACCAGGTAATTCCTCATACTATTACATATCCATGTGGTACACCAAAGTATCTACCCTAACAATAGTTTGGGTAGCCAATAGAGATAATCCCATCTCTGATAAGTATTCCTCTGTACTCAAAATCTTAGATGGTAATTTGGTGATTTTAAATGAATCCCAAGCTCTGATTTGGTCCACAAATCAGAACTCTACCACTTCCAATTTTGTGGTGGCTGTTCTTGGGGATGATGGGAATTTGATTTTGAGAGATGGGTCTAATTCAAATCAACCAATTTGGCAAAGTTTTGATCACCCTGCTCACACTTGGTTGCCTGGTGCAAAGATTGCTTACAATAAGCTTACCAACACACACCAACGTTTAACTTCATGGAAGAACTCAGAAGACCCTTCAACAGGACCGTATTCTCTTAGTCTTGATGCAAATAATAGTCAGTATGTTATATTTTGGAATGGGTCTAAACAGTATTGGACTAGTGGTCCTTGGAATGGGCAGATTTTCAGCTTAGTACCTGAAATGAGAGCTAATTATATCTTTAATTTTAGCTATAACGACAACGAGAATGAGAGTTACTTCACGTATTCTCTGTATAATCCTTTAATTATTTCTAGATTCATTATGGATTTTTCGGGGCACGTCCAACAACTCACTTGGTTGGAAGGCACAAAGCAGTGGAATTTGTTTTGGTCTCAGCCGAGACAGCAATGTGAGGTTTATAATTTCTGTGGGCAATATGGAATATGCAATAATATTATACAACCCTTCTGTAATTGTTTGGCGGGTTTCAATCCTAAGTCGCTCAATAATAGGAATTTGAGTGATTATACTGGGGGATGTGTGAGGAGAACCGAGTTGCTGTGTGGGAATACTACTGCTGCTAATCAAGAGAAAGACAGGTTTTGGGAAATTCCCAGCACGAGATTGCCTGAAAATCCTCAATCTGTGGCTGTTGGCAGTGCCGCTGAATGTGAATCTTCTTGCTTGAATAATTGCTCTTGCACTGCTTATGCTTATGATACTAATGGGTGTTCAATTTGGATTGGGGAGCTTATAAATCTGGAAGATGGTAGTGGAAACACTCTTTATCTCAGACTTGCTGCTTCCGAGTTTCCAAAGCGTAAAAGTAAAAAGGGAATTATTATTGGTGCTGTAGTGGGTTCAGTTGCAGCAGTAGTACTGCTAGGCCTTGTATTTGTTGTTATTTGGAAGTGGCAAAGGAGGTTGGTTGGAACAAAAGCACTAGATGGTTCATTAGTTGCATTTGGATACAAAGATTTGCAAAATGCAACCAAAAATTTCTCGGATAAATTGGGGGGAGGAGGTTTTGGTTCTGTTTTTAAAGGGACATTGCCTGATTCAACTGTCATAGCCGTGAAGAAGCTTGAAAGCTTCAGCCAAGGAGAGAAGCAATTTCGGACAGAAGTCAGCACAATTGGAACTGTCCAACATGTCAATCTTGTTCGGCTTCGTGGGTTCTGCTCTGAAGGAAATAACAAGTTGTTGGTGTATGATTATATGCAGAATGGTTCCTTGGATTCCAATCTTTTCCATGAAAAGGATGAAAAGGTTTTGGATTGGAACACAAGGTACCAAATTGCGTTGGGGACAGCTAGGGGCTTGGCTTATCTCCACGAGAAGTGCAGGGACTGTATCATACACTGTGACATAAAGCCAGAAAACATTCTTTTGGACAATGAATTATGTCCAAAAGTTGCAGATTTTGGCCTAGCAAAGCTCATTGGGCGAGAATTCAGTAGGGTTCTGACAACCATGAGGGGGACAAGAGGCTATCTCGCACCAGAGTGGATATCAGGAGTAGCCATAACAGCCAAAGCTGATGTTTACAGCTACGGTATGATGCTTTTTGAACTTGTATCAGGAAGGAGAAACTCTGAGCAATCTGAAGACGGGAAAGTCAGATTCTTCCCGACTTGGGCTGCAAGTGTGGTCATAGAAGGAGGTGATATCCTTGACCTATTAGACCTTAAGCTTGAGAGAAATGCCGATGCTGAAGAGCTAACAAGAATTTGCAGAGTTGCTTGTTGGTGCATCCAAGATGAAGAAAACCATAGGCCAACAATGGGTCAGGTAGTTCAGATCCTCGAGGGTCTTCTGGATTTGACCCAGCTGCCTCCGTTTCCACGATCTCTCCAAGTCTTTGATGACAACAACGAAAATATAGTTTTCTTCACCGATTCGTCCTCTTGCCAGAGTTCACAACCACCGGGCTATCCTTCAAATGCTTCCTCTCAGGCCAAGAGCACTCCATCGCCAACAAGTATCAACTCCTGAAGACAAAAAAAAGAACCAAAAACAGAAAGGATTTGCCGAGTGCTTTTCTATTTGCTTAATTACAAATATATTCTGCCTCTATTTTTTTCTTTATTTCTTTCTTTCTTCTTCTTCTTCTTCTTTCTTATTTTTTATTTTATTTTATTTTTTTTATTTTGAATATGAATGCCTGAATGCACGAGATAAGGCCTCCCTTTTGTTAGTATTTGCAGCTTTACAGTAAGATGCTTGTATATTTACTGTAGCAATGGTTTTGCTGTCTGTTAATGCAATTGGTTTCTGGTTTTCCTATAGCATTGGGCCTATTTTTATTTTGTCTGTTAATGCAATTGGTTTCTGGTTTTCCTATAGCATTGGGCCTATTTTTATTTTTATTTTTTTCTTTTAAATCTACATCATATGTCTTGATGTGTGGCATGGGTTCATCTTTACCAAATCTTAATGCCCTAATGTCTCAATGCACTTCTAGTCACTTGATGTGAGAATCTTGGGACCAATTCATATGGTTGGGAGTATGTATTAGAATAGCAAAACAAATTGGTTTAAGTTTCTGCACTAGAAGAAGCAATACAAGCCCCCAAGGATTTCTGAAACCAGACATGAACTTGGGAATTGGAATTGCTTTCACTTTCTCCCCATTCTCTAGCTTTCGTTGCCACAGGCTCATTCAGATTTGGAGTTAAAAATTGCTACTTTTGATTTTACTGATATTCTTCTAAAGATCAAGTAGATTAAAAATTTAAACATCCCAACCGAAAGGGGACTCGTGCTGTGCTAGTTAGGGACCTGGGTAAGGATTTTTACAATTTTGTAAGGCTAGTGGAGCTCTTTCAGATCACTTGTTTCGGGTTATGTTCTGCACATCAGAGACCTTTTTTCCTGGAATTCTCGGTAGTACTGCTCAAAACCTATATTTTTTTAAAATTTATTTTTGGGCGAAAATAAAGTAAAATTTTGTTGACAAAAATATAACATTGCATGAGAAATGAGGAAAGAAGCAAAATGGTAACTTGGGATGGTTTGAGGTGTTGCCTGGGACTATTGGAGTTTCTGTAAATTCAGCTACTCCTTTGATTTGATTTTGATTTGATGATTTGAGTGTTGTTCTTTGGATGTTCTTTGTTTTGTTGGCATCTTGCCAATCTCCTTGTCCTGTTTGGACTCAGGTTTGTAGGATTGGATTTTAAGGTGTGTCAATGTAATTGGGATGTATCTTTGAATTTTATTTTTTATTTTTTTTCCCTTAACCTCTCTAAATAGTTGTAATTCTCATCTTTCAATCAATAAATCTGACTTTCTTTGCTGATAAAATAAAAAAATGAAATTGGAGAATACTTTTCCAAATGTGAGATGCCCAAGGAGAGCTATGCTCAGTTTGAAAGGACATGGGTTTTTTTACATTAATAAAATTCTGTATGACATTCTAAAATATATCTGTATGCTTTTCCAAATGATGCAAAATAATTGAAATACTCATTTATTAATGGTGTGTTTGGTTGAGGGATTTGGGGATGGATTTGGAAAGAGAAAGGGAAAAGGTGTGTGAAACTATGTGAAATATAGGCATGATTTATTCACATTTCACCTACCTTTTCCATTTACCTTTCCAAATCCCTCTCCAAATCTCCCAACCAAACACAACATAAATGGAAAAATTACACCTCAGTGATGCTTTCAAAAAATATTTACACATTTATGGAGAAGTTTATGGCTTAATGGTTGAATGTTTATAAAGTTTATCATTAATGTATAATTATTTTTTAAAATTTTCACTGAATTGATGTTTTCCCTTTATTAGTGGGGAATGGCTAACCCATCTAATTGCTACAGTATTACTTTGCATATAGTTACAAAATCATCCAATATAATTGGAGGAGTATTACAATGCATATTTACAACAACATTTAATGTAATTGGAGGAATACTAATGATGTAGCTGAGTAACTAGATATTCTTATTGTAGATGAGATAATTTTGAAACCAGGAAGAAACTTTAAATCTAGATTAAAATATTATTGATCAATGAATGTCTTTGCCCTTAAGCATATATAATGATTATCTTATAATAGTTAAAGTCATAATTCGAATAGGAATTTAGGAAACAGCAACTGTGTTAATTATTTGTTAATCAAGAAAAATAATATAAGAAAATAAAAAGTTATCAAAAATGACAATTTTTTTGAAATGACAAGTGACTACTAGAAAGTAAAATTACCAATAGCAAGTTGCACTAAAAATAGATATTCCTAAACAAAGTTATTAGAAAACTACACTTGTCTCTAAGATTTGGAGAAGATATAGGTTTAGTAATTTTAATATAATTATATCAACTATTTTAACAAGGTTAAAGGGATCAAAATTAAGAAAAATTGTGTAAAGACACAAAGTTAAATAGGGTAAAATATGCATTTAGTGTAAAAAAAATCATTTCTTTTCATATGGCTAACGAATGTATTATATAAAAGTGAGCTTAGTGTTACGTAAATTAAGGGGTTGTTTGGAATGAGCTAAATAAGTATACTTTTTGTCTTTTTACGAAAAGATGTTTAAAAAAATAGAAAGGTGATATGATGAAAAAAAGATAAAAAGATAGATTATTTTAAGGATGCCAAACTTGACCTAAAAGTTTGAAAGACATTTGTACTCCCTCTATCTCATTTTGATAATCCCTTTTGAAAAATTTTAACTTTTTAAGGAGACAAGTAATTATTACACTAAAATTCATATTTTAAAGTATTTAATTTCAAGAATACCATTCTATTGTTATTTTTAAATCTATTGATATAATTACGGGACAATTTTGAAAATTTTTTAAATTTAAAATTTTGATTTTCAAGGAGGACATGCATTTTGAAATAACAAAAAATGAAATAATAGATTAAGTTATACACGGCGTCTCATACACTTAAAGCATTTATGGATACCCAATCAAAAAAGGCCACATAATTGTTGTGATTTTTTAAAAAAAAATTGCATCTCTTTTGCATATAATTATTGCATCTGATCAGCTCCATCCCCTTTACTCTCTCTTCTTCCATCCCATGGCTTCTCTATCTCAATCCTTTCTCTGCCCAGCTTTCACCACCGACCACTACGAACTCCATCACCAACCACTGCGACCTCCACCTCCACTTTTCTCCTCTCTTCCCATAGCTCCTCTGTTATATAATGGACTAATAAATGGGACGGAAAGAGTATTATTTAAGGGACTTGTGAGATTAATTATATATTTTTTCAAATATGAAGGAAGCTCAGTGTTATTTACCCAAAAGAATGTTCACTGAAATGGAAAAATTACTAATTTAAGGGTAAATGAATGATTTTGTCCAAAATTCATCTTGCATCATTGTCAGAAAAGATAATTAGTCTTATTTAGAATGTCATTACCAATCAAACAATTAAAGTTGAAGAGATTTTGAGTTTGTTCAAACATTATGTTTCTGCCCTTGATTAACATTTCAAATTTTTTTTTTTTAAATTTAATTTCTCTCAATCATTGCTCTTCAGTTCATATACTCTTCAGTCACTTGTTCTACGTCACTGAATTCCATCTAATTTGATTATAAAAAACAATCGATGACAAATTATTGTGCACACTTGACTTTTCTATTTTTTTTATATCCTTGAGAGATTACATTATGCTGATCTAGAAAGGAAAATGTTTGAGACTCGTGTGCACACTTGTCTTTTCTATTTCTTTTCTATCCTTGAGAGATTACGTTAAGCTGATCTAGAAAGGAAAATGTTTGAGACTCGCTTTGGAGATAATCCCCACACCCTCAAAATGATCTTGGCCCTCTATATATGTGTGGGGTTCACATCATGAGTGGTTCAGATTTGTCGGGATCTTGTAGGGGTGGTGGTCTCAATCATTGCTCATCTAGAAAAATGGTAAGGATGTGAGCTTTCATTAACTTTACTAGCAAACCTTAAAGGGGAAGTCTATAAAGGGGATTTTCTTCCCCAAATAAACATAAAAATTATGTAGAAAATAATACATGTAATAAAAAAAAATCACCAAGCGTAAAGTTATGATATGTAAATATTTTAATACCATAAACTATATATATTTTTTACAACTTCAGGTATATATCTGTCCAAATTCAGATGCCTCTCCAGCCATATATTGGGGACAAATAAGTTAAAATATTTTGAATAGATAAGTAAAAATACTAGAACAGATAGATTAAAAATATGATGACAGATAAATTAAAAATATGAGAGCAAATAAATTTAAAATATAGGTATACATAGGTTCAAATATGTGGACAAATAATTTGGTTAAAATTTTTGATACAGATAGGAGTTTGTCCACCCGTACAAATTTCACTACATTAGGGCCCTATATCCAAAAGTGTACTGACCGTACCCTAATTTGTGGGCATTACTACTTTGGATCAATGAAAATTTGTTATAGGACTCAAGAAGAGACTAGCACAAGGATAATCCTCATCTAAACGACACAAATTATGTGGTGTTGGGGAATTATTCAAAGAGAGAAAATTTATACATCAGCAAATTGTTCACTTTGCCAGAATTTTGGATTTACAAAATAGTGGTTCTCATGAGAGAGATGATCGTGATCTCAAGAGGGAAACAAGGTAGTTATCCAGGCCCGGCCCTGGAATAAGGCTGGTAAGGCCTGTGGCTTGGGCCCCAAAAATTAGACCTAGAAAAAGGCCCTAAATTTAGTCTTGCATTATATTAAAAAGTTAAAATAGCCAAATTTTATTTAATTAATTTAGACCATTTTAAAGGGGGTCTCGAAAAATTTATTTGGCCCAATTGATAAAAAAACTCAATTAAAAAATATTTATAAGTTTTAGTTGTTGGTCCAATTAAAAAAATAAAATATAAAATATATGTATATGTATTAATCGTTAACCTAATTTTGTATGGCCTATTTTTTTCTCTCTTTATAGCCCAATTATGTGTTTTCTAGTATTTTTTTAAAAAAATATTTTACACAATTTTTATTTATTTATTTTGTAGATACATCTAATTTAGATATGCTTAAAAACTATAATATATATATGTATATATTTTAAAAAAACGTCACCAAATATAAAAAATATAAAAAAAAAATACGAATTGCAAACTCAGACAATTATTTTTAAAAAATTTAAACCAAATAGAGTGATTTTTATTTATATTTTTTTATAAATATCTAAAAAAGTGTCAAAAAATTATTTCGCTTTAGGCTCCCGAAACTCAGGACTGGCCTTGTAGTTATCCACATGTGATCTTTAGGAGCAAAGGCAATGTAGCATTATAAAAAAGGAACTTCATCCTT